ACTTAAGGTACAGCTTGCACTTTGCTTCAAAGGGTTAGGCTCCCCGTTTCCTCCCTCCCCTTCACTCCCGCTTCCTGGGACAGTACCTTTCCTCTCGCTGGATCGGTTCCCACTGGTGGAGTGAAGAAATGGCCCCAAACACTACAGAGAACGAGTCCTTTCCCAGCGTTCCCTCTTATACCTGGGCCTCATCAGCTGCAGTCACACCGGGAGCTCATCCCCCCAATCAACTGCAAGGACCAGGAAAGAGTGTAGGATTGGCTTAGGCCTGACCTTGTTCTTCTTGCCTGGAACGTGTCCTGCAAGGGAAGGGATTCCCCAGTGCTCTGAACTTGTGTCTCAGTACTTCCTGTGCCATGGAGGCTCTGCTGTCTCTAACCGAGCTGTTTACCAATTTTATTTATTTTTGTCTGTACGTGTGTGGTGCACACACCCATGAGCCTGCAGATGCCAGTGGTTGGCATGGGGTCTTCCTCTACCACTTTCCATCGTGTGTGTGTGTGTGTGTGTGTGTGAGTGTGTGTGTGTGTGTGTGTGTGTTTTCCAGGCAAGTTCATTTCACACATACTCATATGTCTAATTGCACCAAAAGGGTATTTTTTTTTTGTCGTTTTTGTTTTTTGTTTTTCCAAACAGAAAACTGGCACTGTCAAATAAGCCAGCGTTGAGGTCACAGTAACTGGAAAAGTGATTGACAGCTCAGGGCAGTCAGCCTTCAGGGTTCACAGGCTCCTCTCAGGCCACACAGCACGCCGCCCGTGACTGCAATTAAACCAACCAGCCACACAGACATTGACTGATGCAGGTTACATGATTCTAGAAATGTGCTGAGCTTCACAAACATTTGAAAAACGTAAGTTCTTTTTTTTGTTACAGTATTGCTTCAGTGAAGCTCCCGAATTACCTGTGAGAGAACACCATCCCAGCGCCTGAGGGGAGGGGACAGTCAGCACTTGGTGCAGCGACCTTTCCCCTTTCCTCGGACTTAGCCGGCCCTTCAGGACTCACAGGACATTGCCTATCATTTCTGTCTTCTAGGACTGTGGCTGCTCGGCAGTTGACACATCACACTGTCTAGGGTACAAGATGTTTTTGATGGAAGACAAGGACTTTTCTGGAGGCAGAAGAAAGATGGCAGTCAGTGTCTTAAGTGTCATTTAAGGTGTGTCCTTTTTAAAATGAAGATATTTGTTATATAAATGCCCACGTGCGGAAGAGCTGGCAGAAGAGTTGCTCATTAGAGAGTGTGTCCTGATGGTGAGGGGCATGTGAACCTGAAACAGACGGGACCTAAGTTACTGGGACCTTGTAGTCAGGTCGATGATGACCGAGGCCTATGGTGAGGCAGCAGCTGTTGTGACTATGGAGAATATTTTAAAATAAATATTTATGAGTTAGTTTTGAATGTCTAGTTTTATTGGAGATTAGGAAGCTTGAAGCAGGAAGCACAATTTCCAGGTGACTTGATCAAATGACACACTGCAGGAGTATTGACTGAGCACCTAAGGACAAGTTCGGGGAGCTACCTAATTTTTTTAGATAGGGCCTCACACTGAACCTGGATCCCACTGATTGGCTGTTAGAGCTGGCCTGTGAGCTCTCACTGTCCTCCTGCACTGGGGTCACACGTGCACTAAGACACTCAGCTTTTTACACGGGTGTTGGGATCCGAACCCAGGTCTTCATGCTCTCACGGCAAGCTCTTGACCCAGGAACCATCTTCCTGGTGCCTGCTCTTGTTTAGACACGGCTCTTGGGGAAGGACGGTCTTCTTGCCTCAAGAGTGGCCTCCCAGGCAGTGGCCAGGTCCTGTCCTCATCACCAGAATCAACCTTGCACTTGTCCCCTGCCTTCTGGTGACAGAGAGGGCAACATATACAACTGGCTTTCCTTAGGCTGTGGCCTCAGGTGTCCAGGACTAGCTCAGTGTCCCCTTAATTTAGGCTTGGGAACTGCAACCTGACAGGTCGGGAGGAGGAACCGGGTAGGAAGGAAGTTAAGCCCTAGCAGAGCAGATGGGCAGTGACCCCTCACAGAGAGTAAGCAGCCTGCCGTGGCATACATAGCCTCTGAGGGTGGCTGCCAGGCCCGCCTGAGTTTGAAGGGCAAAGGCTGGTGCAGATGACCCTGAAGGTTCCAGGTCACCGAACAAAGATCCCACTCAAGAGTCCTGAGATTGCACAGAGAACTCTGCCTCCAAGAGGGAGGGCACAGATATTTTGAAGTAAAGTCCTGTGAGAAATTGTCTTTCAGCTCTTTGACACTCCTTCCCAGGGTCTCCACAGACCACTGTCTTCTTCCTGCCTCTGAAGCTTAGAGCGGCCCAGCTGTCAGCCATGAGGGGGAATTCTCGAGATATTTTTTCCCTCAAAGTAGAAAAAGGCCCCGTGGTTATGTGTGTGTGTGAAGGGTTCTCTGTATCCTAATAGGAGGGCATAGCTATCTGTGTGTTCCCCTTCCCCCACACCCGGTTTGGTTTACTCTGGGTGGAATTATTTCTTGATACACTCTGTGAGCAGCACTTTTTATTTTTTAAACCCCGAGAAGGATGAGGCAGAAATAGGAAAATGTCTTTGGTACTTTGAAGGAAATGACAAATCGTTTCCCTTCCTGGAGTCAGAGATGAAAAGAGAAATGGCGCAGTCTCCCCCTGGTGGTCAGTAGGGGGCACAACACTGGGAAGTGTCTAGACGCCGGGTGTGTGAACTATCAAGAGAAAGGCCGACTGATCATTTCTTTGGGAAGCTGTATGGCCGAGTGCCACGTGGGGAAGAGGTAGGGCATCACTTTCCCCATTTTGTGTTTTCAGGTAACAAGCCATGGTGGGAGGGAGGTGACAGGCCAGGTCCCTAATGATCAGAACTTGCTCTGGGCCCTCTTTCTGTTGGGTCATCTGGTGAGGTGGGTGGTACAAGGGACGGACGTGTGGAAATTAGATCACTGATTGTGGTCTTACTGGCGAGACTGTTCCACCTTAGCAGGCTGCTCTCCACATGAGCTTTGGGGCGACCAGGAAAACTGGAGACCATCACAAATGCCCTTTATCAGATGACTTATCAGTACGAGTTGTGCTACTACAAGGATGGGAAATAATACACAAAAAATGTCAGTGCTTAGGAAGGACAAATACATCTATTAAGAGACCACTGATGGGGAGGCCAGGCTGAGCTATATAGTGAGACCCTGTCTCAAAAGAGACAGACAACCCTCAATTGTCAAAGTCGCGGGAATCAAGGATTTTTTTTCCCAGATAAGGAAATTGGGGTTCAGTGACATTATACTCAGAATGAGGCAGAAAGTTCCAGAGTGGAAGCGTGGGACCTCTGCTCTAGATGTCAAAGGCCTTTAGAGGCAGGGTGCCACGTTAAGGAATTACTGGGGTTGTGTGCTGGAGACCTGATCCTTCTCTGTCTTCAGTATAGACTTGCAGGGACAAGAAGCTCTTCTTCGGTGCCCACACCTGCCACCTTCTTGCCCCACACCTGTGCTGCTCAGAGCTGGTCAGGTCAGCCCCGACACCCATCCAAGGAGCAGCTCATCCCTAGGCTGGAAGGAAACAGGGCAGAGGGCAGCCCCTCTGAGCAGAAAGCACAGTTTCTGTCTTTCTGTATGAGACGGGTCTCATTGAAGAGCCCAGGCTGGCCTGGAAGTCAGTGTAGCCCAGACTGTCCTCAATCCTGGATTAATCCTCTTGCCTCAGCATCCTAGGGGTTGAGATTACATGTACGAACCAGCGCGCTCACAGGAAGTGCTGAGAGCAGTCAGCTCCTCTGTGGAGTGTGTCCTTCAGAAACAAAGACGATCCCAGGGGAGCAGGAAGACGCTCATGACAGAGGGCAGAGGCAGAGAGGAGCCGTGTTTCATGGATGCAGCCTTTGGAACCCCTGGATTCCACTTTACAGAGAGGCCTGACCCTGCTATCAGGTCGAAAATATCCTTGTGTTCATGTAAGCCTGGCTCTGATCTCCGTCTGTCTGTCTGTCTGTCTGTCTGTTTCTCTACCTGTGCCTGATTCACAAGGGAGGAAAGTGAAGCACTGAGATTGTGTGACTTGTTCGGGTCATACAATCGACTGGCTCCATAGCCTTTGTCCCCAGTGACTGTCATGGGTGCTACCAGCTTCTCTGTGTGCTCAAGGATGGCTCAAGACCTTCTGGGATTGCCTTACAGTCCTCATCTTGTTCTGCCACCCACTCTTCAGTCTGTTGCCCAGTGGGCCCCATGCTGGTACTGTACCTCCCCATCACCTGCCCCAGCACCCCCCTTCATCAGTCTGCTGCCCAGTGGGCCCCTTGCTAGGTACTGTATGGCCCCATCACCTCCCTGCTCTGAGCATCTGTCTGCTCAGTCACAAATAACCACCTGATCCTCCAACCTCCTCTGGGCAGAAGGGAGTCCTCTCTCTGTTGTGCTACACATGAATACACATATACAACGTCTCGTGTAGCCCAGGCTGGACTCAAACTGGCCACGTAGCTGATCGTTGATCCTTCTGCCTCTACCTCTTGAGTGCTGGGATTGAAAGCATGCGGTATCATGCCCAGTTTATGTGGTGTTAGGGATCTAACTCGGGGCTCTATGACCATCCAAGCTCCATCGCCATCTCTTTCCTGATTCTTGTCCACACGACCTGCCCTCCCTTGCCAAAGGACGTCCAGAAGTGACTTTCTGGAATCGGGAAGAAAAATGATCTGGGGATGAAATATAAATGACATCGCAGAAAGCCACTGTGTTCCACAGTCTTGTGCGTTCAAGGCACCAAAACTGGAGCATCTCTTGAAGGTCCCCAGGGCCCACGGTGTGTGCCCTTTTCCCCCTCAGTGATGTCACACTGGGAGGCAGAGGGGTTCTGGATGTTTCCTCCAAGTTGTCTGTCAGTGCTCACCATCAAGCCTCCGGGCAGGAGCTGTAGTTAGCAGCAGCAGCGAGGGAAGGACGGACTGACTGGCAGTTCAGATAAACCTGGAGAGAGCCCATAGCCTTTGTCAAGTTTATTTTATTAAAATATATAGGACTGAATATTGGTGGGCCCCTGAGACAGGAACCCCCCTCCCAGGCTGCACTCAAGGGAGACGCTTCTGCCATGCAGACATGCGGCCAGTCTGTGTCCCTGCAAGGGGGACAGACCCCTTCTGGTTGGGCGTGCAGCCAGAGGCTAAGGGGTGGGGTGGGTTAGAGCTGAGTAGTAACTTTCTCCCTTGGCCTAGGCTTCTCACCGGTGTAGGAACCCCAGTGGGAGGGGCCAGGCTGGGGGAGGAGGGAGGTCCCTGAGCCAGGGAAAGCTGATGGCCTCTATATGGGGTAAAGGGGCCCCCAGTCAGGATGGAGATGGGGTCAGTGCAGCCCTGAGAAGGGGATCCACCTGTGTATGGGGGCCATGGTCACCCTGCCTTTCCTCTAGGAAAGGTTAGCCGGAGGCTGACCTTCTGGGGGAACACCCATGGACTCTCTGAGCTGGGCCTGAGCAGAGACTGGGCTGCAGTTGATGGAATGTACTCTGTGGGAATGTTCCTTTGGGGAGCATGCTGCCTGGGACTTAGTCCCTTATGGGGGAGGCCTGGGTAGGCAGGAGCAGCTCTCTCTCTCTTCCAGAGGGTCTGCCAACCTGTTGCCTGGTCACAGGCCCCCAGCTCTCATGGCTAGCTTCAACTTAGAGCTGACATGGCCCCCCATCCCCAGGGGGTAGCCCAGGCAAGCACAGTCCTTGGTTTGTGCTTTAGAATGTTGGCGAGCTGGGCTGGGAAAGAGCTCTGAGACCACAAGGCTCTGAGACACAGGATGGATTCCGAGCATCTTCCTCACGCCACTGAGTCAGGGCTGAGGAGACTCAGGTCTCCCCAAGTCAGGGGCCCCTGCCTCCCCTTGTGAGCATGGCCTGAGCTGTTAGGGTGTTTGTGCTTTTTGTTGGGTTGGGATGAGCCTGTTCAAGGGCAGCCACAGAGCTGTGAATGATCCGCCGTGCCAAGGAACTGGATGGCAAGTGGCCAGGGAAGAGGAGGGGAATACCTCTACCAGGCCTTTCCCGTTACAGTCCAGCTTCTTGGTTATTAGTTCCTGAGCCAGGTGACTCCTCCCCACCAGAACCAAAGAGTACCTTGGAGAGGCCAGCCTGGTGCTGGGCGCTGTGAGAGCTCCGCCCACCACATCTCCATTGGCCAGTTGATGTTCCATCACCCAATAGTGTGGACAAATTGTTCCCCCAGCTTCTCCAAAAACCTCAATCCTGCTCTGTTCTTCAAGGACGTAGCCCAGTGGTCCCTCATGATCCAGGACCCCAGAGGAGCATCAGCATGAAGCTGCAGGCTCAGCTTCTATCATTATTTCTCCCCTGCTCAGACCTCTTCCCTCTGGGCCCCTGTATGGTTTCTGGGAGCTTCCTAGGAACATGGGTCCATGGGCAGGGAGTAGCCTGGTCTCCCAAGTGGTAGAAAGGACAGAAGGGACCCCCAGAGGCGGTCCCATTTATTGACCTTGGAAGAACTAGGGGTACCTTCTGGCTGCCACCTCCTCTGCCAAGTCAGAGAAACCACTCTGTGTGTGTGAGAGTGTGTGTATGTGTGTGTGTGTGTGAGATAGAGAGAGAGAGAGAGAGAGAGAGAGAGAGAGAGAGAGAGAGAGAGAGAGAGAGAGAGAGATAGTGTGAGAGAGATAGACTGTGTCTGTGTCTGTCTTGGGAGTAAACTGCTCAGCTTTTGCAAATATATTAGAAAAATGTTTCTCATAGAGGCCGCTTGTCTGAGGCAGGATTGAGGCTTCTCCAGGCTAAGAAGCAATGACCACCCAGGGTCCCCTCCCATGTGTCCTAGATGACATTCTCAAACAGCTGCATGGAGTTCATGATGTTCTCGTCCTGTGTGAAGAAAGGAAAGGCTGGTCAGGAGCTGGGGGCAGGGCAGTGGTATTCCCCAATCCTGACTAACTGCAGATTCCTGTCAGGGACTATGTCTCACTGGGCAGGGCAGGTGGGGGACCGAGGGCCAGAGAAATGGGGAGTAGCTGGTCCCAGAGCCCAAGTGGCAAGGTGCAGCCTGTCCTCCCTAGGGATGGACTGCAGGGCCTGGTCATGGCTGCTGCACAAAAATCTCCTAGCTGCAAGTCAGGTCAGGGACCAGGGTTGATGGAGAGGCAGGAGGCGGTGGTGTGCGTTTCCTGTCTCCATGGACTCTGAGAGCAGGGCCAGCAGCAGAGCCAAGAAAGCTCTGGATGCCTTTCCCTTAGTGTTATTCTGTCTGGGGGGTACACTGGGCTAATCGCCCCTCTGCTGACCCTACACTTGCTCTCTGATTGGAGGTGACATGAGAATTGCTGAGAGAGGGTCTGGGAGTCAGGACAGGGTAGACGAGGGAGAGACAAGTTCAGGGGACACCAAGGTGATGGACACAGGAAAGATGGAAGATTCCAGGAAAGTGGGGCCTGAGGGCAGCTAATGCCATCCTCCATGTGCCCTGGCAGGAACAGGATCCTGTGTGTGAGGAGGGAGGGAGGGGAATACAGAGAAACAGAGAGAAAGACATGCACACACACACACAGACCACAGAGGACTCCAAGCCCAGAACCAGATGCCACCTACCTTCTGACAGGTCTCCAGAAACTCGTCAATGGTCACCACTCCATCCTGGTTCCTGTCCATTTTCTGCAACCCAAACCATGCCCAAGGTAAGCCTGTCTCCCTTAGGGCCTTCCCCTACTCCAGCCTGAGTACACTGTTGGAGTTGGGGTGGGGCCTTCTTCCAGTTCAACTGGTCCCTTCATTTCCCATCCTTCCCAGCCAACCTTACTCTAAGGTCTCCTCAGGTGGCCTGCTGAGGGGGCTCTTTGCTGGCTCACCTTAGTTTAGCATCCCAGAATTCCCTCTGTTCCTATCTAACCCCTCAACTTTGGGACAAAAGCCAGCACTTTAGAGGCACCGAATGACGGAAGTAAAATGGAACCATTGGTTCCTTCTGCGCCTCCAGAATGGGGGCAACTTCAGCACTATTCAGGTAGGGTGGGAGGAGGGGAGCTTGCTTCAAATATGTCCCAAAAGGCACTAAAATACTGGACCCTGTGTGGGTACTAGCTGCCTCTACACATAGGGGCCCAGAATACTTCATTTTCCAGATGAAGTTCATTGGGACAGGGCCTGGGTTTCATTCATTCTCCCAAAGGACTCGGGCAATCAGCTGGGGCGGGGAGCCCATCTGTGGCTCAGTGCGGATTAGAGGCTCACTAGGGTTGCCCCGCCCCCATCGAAGGTCAGGGCTCACATACCTGGAAGAACCTCTCCACATGCTCCAGGGGTGCGTCCTCCCGCAGGATGGGGTAGGTGTGGCGGCCCATCATGTCGTAGATGGATTTCATGATGGCCAGCATCTCCTGGAAGACAGAGGGCTGCATGAGCTGCTTCCATTGCAGGGACACCAAGCCACCACCTGGGCAGCGGTGAGTGAGTCTGAGGCGCCTGGGAGCTACAGAGAGTGTCTGGCCCTTCCTGTCCAGTGACTGCTAAGAGAAACTGGAGATAGACTTTTATGTACCTGTCTCTAAGACAAGAAGCTAGAGTGACTATTTCAGATAAAAATGTTTGGGCCAAACCAGACCCACCCCTGGGACTGTGTGGCAAGGTCGCTAGGCAGGGCTGAGAATCACCAAGCTAGTGGCATCAGGAGAAAAGGGAAGCCAGGAGCTCAGGAGAGTAGGGACAGGCACGTCTGCCAACCCAGTACCTCTTTGGTGATGTAACCATCCTTGTTAATGTCATAGAGATTGAAGGCCCACTTGAGCTTCTCGTGGACCGTCCCTCGGAGCAGGATGGAGAGCCCAACCACGAAGTCCTGTAGAGGAGAGGGAGGGTGAGGAACAGTAGCCATGACTGGGGCTCCCTTCTAGCCCACCAGGTGACTCCCACTGGAAGTCACACTCCCTCAAATGAGGGTCTTCCATAGTCAAGAGGCAGATATGTCCATTCAGGTGGCCAGCGTGTGAGTGTGTGTGCACGTGTGCAAGGTTGTCTGTGCTTCTGTGTGTGAGCACATGCATAACTGTGCCTGTGTACCCCGCGGCAGTGTGTGTGTGTGTGTGTGTGTGTGTGTGTGTGCACAGTCATCAATACTGAGTCCAGCAGAGATCCAGCTGTTAGTTTGGTGTCCTGTGCTTATTTCTCGCCTTTCTGCTGTCTAGGGGCTCCTTCAGCCCAGGGGAGAGTTCTAACGTTAGTCCACTCAGCATCCATAAGTCAAAGGTCCTCAGACACTTTCAGTTTAACAAGCTCAAACTGGCAGGCTGCTGTCCCCTGTGGGCTGTGACAGTGGACATGACAGGATGTGACTGCCCACACAGCTGCATACGGATTCCAGCTGGAAGGCACGAGAAGCAAGCCCTCTTCCCCTCCCCACCACAGGGTCCTCTTTGGCTATTCTGAAAGGAAGACCTGTCCTGGGGAACTGCCCATGGAGCCTGCAAAGGGACAGGGTACAGCCTCAAAGGACTCAGCCCCTACTCCCAGATTAGACTTCCTGGCCACAAGGAAGCCCATACGACAAGAAGAAGAGACCAAGGGAAACAGAACAGCAATTTGTAAGGAACAGAACATTCTAGAAGGGGAAAAAAACCTGATGAAAACAAGGAGCTGCAGAGGTTAGAAACCTGGTATGCCTTACAATAAAAACAGGACACTTTATAAAAGAGGAGAGGGGAACAATCGAAGATCAAGACCAGAAAGACCTTGCTAGTTGGTAGGGATCAAAAACGATGAAAGAAGGTTTGGGGGAGCAAGTGGGGTCTTCCAAGAAGTGGACACACACACACACACACACACACACACACACACATATAGAGAGAGAGAGAGAGAGAGAGAGAGAGAGAGAGAGAGAGAGAGAGAGAGAGAGAGATATCCTGGGGGACATCACCAGGACAGAAAACCCAGGCAGAACCAGAGAAAAATGCAGCAAAGTGAGTCAGAGAAATTGGGAAAGATTTCCCCCAAAGACAAAGCTAAGTTCCCGGGCCCCACCCCCCATCCCGAGACTGGCACAGTGTGTGAGATCAGCTACAGTTGAACCCCACGACACAAGTCCTGGTGAGACGCAGAAAAACTGGCTGCCAAGAGAGGGTTTCCAGAGAGAAACACAAAGCCAACTGGGAGAAGCCAATCAATATCAATCATCCATCCATCCATCCGTCCATGCATCCATCCATCATCCTTGTCAATAAGGCCCCACACACCTGATCAGAATCATCTGGTGGGGCTGTTGAACAGTCCCTGAGGGACTGAAGCCTGAGGAACAACCTTCCTGGAAGTTCTAGTTCGTGCAGCAGGCGAAAGAGAGGAAGGGTAAAGGTATTTCCGGATATCCAGTGGCTCAAAAGTCACGTCCCACACACTCTTTCCAAGAAGCTGCTGGAAGACGCGCCCTTGGAAAGAGAGCAAAGCCAGGAAGAAGTTAAGAGATTCCCCAGTCTGGGGGACTTGGCCCCAGGGGAAAGAGGAAGTGGGTCCAAGGGGCCCGAGGGAGCTGGGGATCCCTCAGTCGCTTTACAATCTGAATCCTTCAGTCAGTTGTTGAGGGGGATGGGAAACGTTGTGTGCTCGGGGAGGCTGAAGACACCACACCTAAACAGGACAGCCCAGAAGAGTCATGGAAACATGTTATAAGGAGACTGCCCGGTCAGTGCACCGGTCTTGGAAGTCATGAATAAAAAACTCAAAGGAGAAGCAAGGTGCTATTTCTTATACTTTTAGGCTGGGAAGTGTGGGTGTGGTTTACCCAACCAAAGAAGATTCAAACTCATCCCCGAAGCCACCACAATCCAGCCCCACCCCGCCGCCCACCCCACAGGCTTTCCCTGTGGGAGGATGAGGCACGGTGTGGTGTCTACTTGGGTGCAAGCTTCTCAAGTAGACCACTAGGGGGCACTAGCACCCTCCTCTCTTCTGGAAACCTGCCTTTAGCCACACAGCCCGCTCAAACAGAGCACTGACTGTCGCTGCAAGGCCACGGAAGGGACAGCCCATTTGTCAAGCAGCATATTTTCAAGTGTGTCCACCACCAGCCTTAACTCCAGGCTCAAAGGTGCATGCAGGTTTCTAAGATGCCAGAGGTGAACACGAAGAAGCTGGTAAGAACTAAGGGTGATTGTCGGACTGCAGGCCAACCTGGGATGACAGTTCACACCACATTAGGGAGGCCAACTTGGTTAGTAACATGGAAGCCATGATGGGGTTGGGGTTGGGTACAGTACAAAGAAGTGGCCACACCCTCTAGACACGTGACAGCTTCACTTTCCAAATGAGCGGCTTGTCCAATGCCATTTTCAGGCTGGCTACCCAGAGGCACCCATAGTTACTGACGTGTTCGGGAAGCTCTGTGCTTTCCTGATAAGACACACTCGCTGAATCAGAAAGGGCTTTCGTGGCATGGACTGTTAAGGTACATCCATGTTCAACACCATCCACAGCAGGGGGAAGGCGGGAGGGACCTGGGACCATGGACCACATCCACGTTCAACACCGTCCACAGCAGGGGAAAGACGGGAGGGACCTGGGGTCACGGACCACGTCCATGTTCAACACCGTCCAGCAGGGGAAAGACGGGAGGGACCTGGGGCCACGGACCACATCATGTTCAACACTATCTACAGCAGGGGGAAGGCGGGAGGGACCTGGGGTCACATCCTCTCGGTTCGGGTGGGGTTTGATAGTTTTACTGTTTTTTGTTGCTGTTGTCATTTTGTCAAGGATGAGAAGTTAATATAACCCCCCCCCCCCCGCCGAAGGTTCTGAGGTGTTGAGTTGGTTAAGAGTCTGCCAGAGCGCCCTCCTCCCACCTGAGAGGACCATTCTAGACTCCGGGGATCCTGGCCCCGTGGTGCGTGGAGGACGGAGCAGTGGAGATATGTGCCCCTCCCTTCCTCCAGAAAGCTTCCCAGAGTAGAGCGCCACAACCAGGAAGTTCCTCAGGGGACTGAAGCCGGAGGGATTCATTTCACACAGAGAGAAGTATGTAGAAGAGGAGAAGATATCGGTGCTAGATGAGAAGGTGCCGGGGCCCCATCCCGGGCACTGACATATCCTGCTTCCCAGACACATCACCTAACCCAAGATCCCTCTCTGTGCCACCCAGGAAGGTTCCACAGGGACAGTAAGTGACAGTTACAGGAAAGGGTAGGCACCATGACCTTCCTGGTCCATGGACACACACAGAGGGGTCCTGGGAAGCTGACTGAAGGGCTCATTGATGAGTAGGAAAAGATCTCCCACATGGTTGTGGCTGGGTACTTCTCAGAGAATTCCTTTCGCTACTTCTCCAAGAGGCTCTGTTGGCCTCGGGCGGGAACCCCAGGAGCTGGCCACAGAGGAAGCCTGGGGAGCCACATCTTCCCTGCTAGCTCCCTGTTCTCACTGTGTTGTCTATGTGCACTGACTTTGGTGTTGCAGGTGTTAATGAAAAGCAGTGGTAACAACCCTGTGTGTGTAACAGGGACCATGGGCCTTCTGGTCAGGGCGGGGGGCTGTGGTCACAGAGCTGAACCCAGGCTCCCAGGCCCGTCCAGTGTCTCTCTGTGGCCGGTGCTGTGTAAAAATAACCCAGTGGCATTATTGACGAGTTATTATTACCCCAGCCTGGCTGTCCATGGCCTTTCTGAGCTGTGCGCTTGCTAGACCGCTTTCCTGCTGGCCGCCCTTGGCCTTGGAAGCCAAGCTGGGGCACTTATCGATCAGGCTAGCTCTCAGTGAGGTCCTCTCCGAAGAGGTTTCAGCTTTTTCTCCTGTAGCTATTTTTAGGGACCTGGGCTCCACAGATGGGGCCTGTCTCAAATGACTGCATGTGACCAGGCCTGGGAGGAACCCATGCTACCGCTGCTCACGGGGAGCCCAGGCTGTCTGGGTTGACGTGGGGGGTTCTGGCTTCTCCTTCTGCACTCTTGAGCAATACTGGCCATCACTCATGGTGTCTTGCCGGGATGACAACCCAAGGCTTCAAGCCCACTCAACATGTTCTCTGGGTGTTTCTGACCTTTTTTGCTTAGCAATAAGGTCAGGGAACAATGAAACCCCACTAACCTTGCCCCATTTGAGAGCTAGGCATGGCAGCTCATGGCTGTACTCCTGGTATTCTGGGGGGAGTGGAGGAGGATTATGAGTTTGAGGCCAGACTGGATGATACAGAGAGACCTGGTCTCAAAGAAACAAAGACGAGGGCTGGTGGGATGTTAAAGGTATTTGCTACCAAGCCTGACACCCTGAGTTCAATCCCCAGGGTCCATATGATAGAGAAAACTGACTCCTGCAAACTGTCCGCCAACCTCACACACTTGCTACCGCATGTGCCCCTCCCCAAAGACGTGATAAATTAATTTTTAAAAATCCTTGATCTCTTTTTAAAATATAGACTTGTGTTGGGTCACTGCTAGCTGAGGGTGTATTGGCAGCTTCCCTGGCTGCCTAGCTGAGTTAGATGCAAACTCACAGAACAGAAGAGAAAGCTAGCCAACTGTCAGGATTTCCCTGTGTTCTGAGGGGACCACTCTGGAGACCTCAGGGCAGGACACACAGGTCAGCAGGACCTACCTCAAAGTGGATGGCCCCATTCCCATCAGCATCGAAGGCATTGAAGAGGAAGTGGGCGTAGGTGGTAGCATCTGGAGAGAGAGAGGGCAAGGCTGGAGCTGCTCCGATCTCACACAGTCCTGCCTGGGCTCAGGCCCAGTGAGGGCTCCTCTCTGGTAGGTCAGAAGCAGCATCAGACCCTCCATGAAGGAGGGGTGGCTAGGAAGGTGGGGATGGTCATAAGGCCCCCTCCCCAGAGAAGGGGTGCAGTCAGGGCTTGGGAGTAGTGGGGAGGAGGTTGGCCGTGGACTTACCTCCCTGAGGAAAGAACTGTGAGTAAATGAGTTTGAAGGTCTCTTCATCCACCAGGCCCGTGGGACACTCCTGCAGTGAGAAGCCATACCTCTCAGTGGCCTTAGCCACTCCTGGCTCCATGCCTGACTCCACAGGGCTGACCTCTCTCCACCTTCTGAGAGGATGAGGTGCCCACTATCTGAGGAACAGTTGTGCCCCCTGAGCCCTGGGCAGGCAGAAGGCACAATAGACAGGGCTGTGGAGGCGGTTCCCTTCATGCCGATGCCATCCCAATTGGTACAGCATTGGAGACCCTCATAGAAGAGCACGGCAGCCTTCACAATATCTATTCTGAACCATACCCCCCCCATAGCTCTTCCATAAAATATGAGCCCTGAAAAGAACCCCATTTCCTGGGTAGGAGACAGAAGATGGAGAGATAGAGTCAGTCTCTCTCTCTCTCTCTCTCTCTCTCTCTCTCTCTCTCTCTCTCTCTCTCTCTCGACTCTAATGGGGACTGGGGACACAGGGGCACTCACATTCTTGAAGCCTCGGTAAAGGGACTGCAGCTCCTTCTTGGTGAACTTGGTTAGGGCCTGCAGCTGGTCCAAGCCCTCTGGCTGGTGGCGCACCGTGGACAACTCCAGCTCACTGTCACTGCTGTCTGGAGGAGGACACAGACCCAGCAGGGAGAGAGACATGTGGCGTGGGCAGGAACCAGGACACAGGCAGAAGGAGAGGGTGGAGGGACTCTCCTTGTGTGACTACCCTGTACGGCCATGCTGGCTGTGCACGGCACAGAGGGAGGGGCCGTGACGGAGTTGTGCCTTTTGGCTGTTCTAAGCTTCTGTTCCGCCATAACATAGCTCCTCTATTTCTGAGCATATCCACTTCCTCAACCACATGGGGAAGGGGAGAGGGAGGGAGACATGAAAGATCTCACAGCAAGATACTATCTTTAGACTGCCTCTTCCATGCAGCCCCCCTTGATCTCATCAGGAATGGGAAGGCACCCATCTTGGTCCACCCCGGCCTGATAAGCTTGCTATGTAGCTGGGTAAGAGCAAGGTCATTGTTTCCATTTCTGTTAAAACAAACAAACAAAACAGCACACCAGAATGTGTGTCAGGGTTGCCCTGAGGTAGAACGAGACTTCTGGTGATCTTTCCTAATTATCTGATCCCCGCCCCCCATACATTTTCTTGGGAGTGGCATGCATCTTGTTCACAAGACAAAGTAAAAGCTCTGGACGAGAGAACTGCAACCGCCTGCCCCTTTGTGGGCGACATGTTCTCAAAATGCTCCATCTTCTGCTGGCACAGGTGTAGAAGATCCTTTATACCACAACCAGGTCTCTACCAACAACATAGGCCAGAGACTGTACAACCCGCCTGCTGGGCCTCGGGGCAGCCTGCACACACGGGGCAGCCTGCACACACGGGGCAGCCTGCACACACGGGGCGGCCTGCACACACGGGGCAGCCTTAACACACGGGGCGGCCTGCACACACGGGGCAGCCTGCAGATGGGGCGGCCTGCACACACGGGGCAGCCTGCAGATGGGGCGGCCTGCACACACAGGGCAGCCTGCACACATGGGACAGCCTGCACACATGGGGCAGCCTGCAGATGGGGCAGCCTGCACACATGGGGCAGCCTGGCCTCAGAAGCACCTGATGTTTCCCTAGCTCCTAGGTGAAGGCGTTCTCTTCCCCCGTCTCTCACGTTTCTGTGCTTCTGCTTCATTGAGAACACCGGTTCTCAACCTTCTTAATGCAGTGACCCTTTAACACAGTGACCCCCAACCATAAAATTATTTTGTTGATACTTTATAACTGTAATTAATTTTGCTACTGTTATGAATCATAATGTAAATATTTGTTTTCTGATGGTCTTAGGTGACCCCTGTGGAAGGGTTGTTCCACCCACTGAAGGGCTGAGAACCACTGATTTAGAGGCTGCACCCAAGGGGAAATTCCCCAAAGTGCTTTCCAGACAACGTCCCTGTATGTTTTCCCTCCTGCTCCATGCTGCGGTGCCCTGCCCCTGGTTAAGGCGAACCCTCCCATGTGGGCAGTGGGTCCCGGGACTCAAGCCTGAACTCCTTCTCCATGTCTTTTCCCTTCTCTCTGGCCATTCCCATCTTCATATGGATACACTGGAATCTAAACTGTCTTGTGATCCTGAACATGAATGCAGCACCTTACGCAGGTTGGGTGAGTGCTCTACCACTAATCTATACCCAAGCCCTAGAACCACCGTCAAGTTTGGCTACCTATCAAATGAAGCCTTGACAAGTCACATGTGAGCCTGCAATGCCGCTCTGGTTGGTGTCCCATGAGGATCTGTCCCCAGATAGGGTCACCTGTACAAGGAAGCTCCCAGCAACAGTGAGAGTTTTGTGTATTTCACTTTTTTTTGTTGTTGTTGTTGTTGTTTTGAGACAAGGTTTCTCTGTAGCTTTGGTGCCTGTCCCAGAACTAGCTCTTGTAGACCAGGCTGGCCTCGAACTCCCAGAGATCTGCATGCCTCTACCTCCCGAGTGCTGGGATTAAAGGCGTGAGCCACCACCCGGCTTATTTCACTTTTTTTTTAAACAGATGGGGGAGCCATCTTTGTCTATCACAGCAGGACGGGCAGACAGATGTGGAGGGTACACCCCAAGGAGGAGCCTCCAGTGTGAGCTGCACAGAGCAGCCCGGAAGCTGAAAGGAAGGGCTTGCCTTCTTTAAGAGGCAGGCTTTTTAAATTTTTATAAAAATGCCCAGTAACATGCTTTCTCCAGAAACAGAATTCAGAGATGAAAGCCCAGGCTGGTGAGACTAAGATGGGAGAGGAAGGATAAAACATGAGAAATTTTATGATGAGAAGATCACTTCATCCTGAAGATGGAATAATACAAAATATACTATGTCACTTAAACATAGCTGTTAAGTATCTGAAGCAAAGTAAATCAGTAAACAAAAAAACCAGAACTCCAGGGAGGAACGAATAGAGCACAGCCACATTTGAAAATATAAACATTCTTTTTCAGCAACTGGCACCCACGGATATAAAAGATTCAGAAACCACTATCAACCAATTTGATCTAATTAATATTTATAGAACACTATACAGAGATTGTAGAATATACTTTCTTTTCAAAAGCCTACTCTGCGGTTGCCAGGATATACCAGATGCTGGTACATAAAACGGATCTGACCATGGTGGTAATAAGTTAAAATTCAAGTAAATGTTTAGAAAAATCTTAAGTGTTTGAAAATGAAACAGTACACTTGTAATGCGCCCACAGGTTGGAGAAGGAAAAATTACAAGGTGAAGTTTGACCTGAGTGATAGTGAAGACCCGGACTGTCAAGATCTGCTAAGTGTGGGATAAGTTGTGTCCAGAGCGAATGGCATAGCCTTTAAGTTCTCCTATCAGGCCAGGCGTGCTGGCACGTGTCTTTAATCCCAGCACTTGGGAGGCAGAGGCAGGCGGATCTCTGTGAGTTCAAAGCCAGCCTGGGCTATAAAGTAAGTTCTAGAACAGCTAGGACTGCTACACAGAGAAATCCTATCTTTAAAAACAAAGAAGGAGGAGGAAGAAGAAGAAAGAAGATAGGCACCCAGGCACAGTGACCCATGATTGTAATCCCAGCACTCAGGAGACTGAGGCAGGAGGATAGTCCCCAGTTCAAAATCAGACTAGGCTACAGTTCCAGACCCTGTCTCAAAACAAACAATGACAACGACAAAACAACAGCAGATGATAATAATGATAGAGAAAAAGAAGAGTAGAGGTCAAGAGACAATGAAACAAATCAATAGAGAGAAAAACCAATAAAGCCACGATGAAATCCAGTAGGGAGTAATCGGCTTGGAGAACTTATCTCTAGTGCATACATCTGGTAAGGACTCACGTCCAGAACATGTAACGAACTCTGTAAGCCAACACTAATAGAACTGATAACTCCACCTTCTCGGAGAGGAGACATACAAATGATCAGCACAAGACCTGCCTTCAGCATCAACCTATCACTCAAAGAAATGCCAATGAGCCAACGTAAGTGGCAAACCATCAAATCCTCTGTGATGCCCATGAGATGGATGCACTGAATGTTGGTGAGGGTGGGACTCTCCCAGGAGCTCGTGCTCTGTTACAGTGAGTATAACACGGTGTACACAATGGACCACTGCTTGGCACTGACTTATGGCCACAATCACATATGATAAATGGAGATGCCACAAAGTCTACAGGAAGACTTGGGCACGGCTATTTAAGGAAGCCTTGATCTTATTAGTGTTTCCAGCGGCAAAACTGAAAGTCGCCCATCAGTAAAAACATGGAAGTGTGGCCTATTTATTATAAAAGAACAATATTCTCTATTAAAAACAAACAAGGGTCCATTCATATATAGCAACACAAAGCCATCTCAAAACGTTAAACAGCTTTTTCTCAACCCCACATTTAGTAACATCACCCTGTATGGGGCTGCAGGCCTCAGATTAAGACAATTTGCTCTAGACCAGCCTGATGACCTAAGTTTGGCTCCTGGGAACCCAATCTGTAGGTCAGATATCCTGCATATCAGATATTTACATTACAATTCATAACAGTAGCAAAATTATAGTGAAGTAGCTATGAAACAACTATGAGGAACTGTATTAAAGGGTCACAGCATTAGGGTGGTGAGAACCACTGCTCTAGACCCAAGGAAAAGCAAACCCAGATGTACGTGGACAAAGCCTAAAACTTAGTGTGTGAAGATTAACCCAGTCTGGGACTATCTGCCATGTGCCTGTGCATTGTGTGGGCCATGTGTGTGCAGGAGCCCACAGAGGCTAGAATAGGGCCCAGATTCCCTGGGGCTAAAGTCACAGGTGGTTTTGAAAGGAAGGGGAATAGGAAGGAGAGGAAGGGGGAGGGAGAGAGAAGGAAGGGAGAGAAAGAGATATAATAAAATTTTTAATGGCAAAGCCGGGCATGGTGAGGAGGGGGAGACAGTGTGCAGGCTGAGGTAGAAGGGTTGTGAAGGCCAACCAGGGAGACAGAGTCTGTGAGACTGTGTCCAGAGAAACCAACAGGGGACAAAGTGTCCCTGCCCCTTTTAAGGTCAAGCAAACAAGTCTCAAAGGGCCACCAGTGATCCCCACACCCTGATCAACACAGAAACCTTGGTCTCAAAACCTGGTAACAGCAACATTAGGTGGGAAGTGGAGCTGCCTTTCACTCTGTTAAACAGATGCAAAATCTTGATGCAATGTTTACTAGCTGTGCTCAGCGGTTTTTTGAACTTTTTTAGTGTATGATAATTCAGATCTGGGTGATTAGAAGAAGGGAAAATCATACAAAAATCTTACTGATAACCAAACGTGATGGTGTGCGCTTGTGATCCTGGCACTTGGGAGGCAGAGACCAGAGGAGCAGGAGCTCAAGGCCAGCCTCGACTACAGAGCAAGTCAAGGCCAACCTGAGCTGTCAGCCCGTGCCAAGAGAACTGAGGAGGTTGAGGCGGAAGAGAAGGGGGAGGGGGAAGAGGGGGAGGAGGAGATGAATTCATGAAAGATCAATAGCAGCTCTCTGCAACAGTAATAGCCACCTGGAAAATGCACTAAAAATAACAGGTAACACCCATGCAGGCAATACAACTAAGCCACTGAACTAGTAAGGGAAACTCGGAGG